AACAGGGTAAGAACATATGGTGACCAGCCTGGAATAGCTAGGCTTTGCAAAAATTATAGGTGAACATGATCTGCCATGCAGCTTATTCCATGCCATTCTCGCTCCAGGCATTTGTGAAAGTCTTACAAAGCTATCTCAGTTCAGAAAACTGCAGGGAAAAGAGGAGATGGTCAGTCATTGATCAGGAAGGCTTAATTTTATTCAGGCAAATTTATTTATGCTTGGTAAGGTTCATCAAAATATGCAGAGTGCTGATGCCTTAGGAGATGAGGGAAGGAAGTCCCTGGATGCTTGTGTAGACTAGAAATACTGAAATATGATTTTGAAACAGCACTAAATCGATTGATGGGCTGTCATGCAAGTAGGCATCGCAGTGATTCGTGGCCCTTTTGTGAACATGGCTCAACATGACTGGAAATGTTTCCTGTATGCAGCCGGTAAAGGAAACTTATGGCATTATTGACATTCATTAAACTTCCTTGTTCATTTTGATGGAAGGAGGTTCGTTGATAAATACCTCCCAGAATGACCCAGGTCTGATAAATTGAAGGACTTGATTGATAAACGAAGATCTGATACTGAAAGAGAGTACAAGGAAGCCACTTACCACCCAGATGGATGATGCAGGTGTTGTTGGACTGTTGAACAGCACAGATTGAGAGATTCCTTTGCTGGAAGCTTTGCAGGGGATGGGCCAACACTTCTTCAAGACAAGTACAAAGTTATTACAATTTAATTATTACAATTCATGTGCTGCATGGTTGGTATTCCAGACAAAGGCATTGCATGATGGATCACAGGTGGATGTCGTATTCTCACATTTTTCTAGGGCATTTGACAGAGAATCGCATGACATACTTCTGCAAAAGTATGACTGATAAACACAGTAATCTAACAACAGTATCTCTTTCACTTACAGGTCCAATGCATTTAGAATAATTTTATTTTTTATTGTTAGGTGAAACATGATCAGCATAACTGTTTTGTGCAAATACATCCAAAACAGAAAAAAGTCAACCTTGACTGTTTAAAGTACACACAACCCATTGTTGTCAGAAAAAAGTTTTCCAACCCCTGTAAAGAATGTTTTCTGTGATTTTAGACAGCACTTTACATTTATATCCGAAAATTTGCTCTTGGACTGAAAATACAGGCTTTTTCTGACGATAACAAAAACCCAGCATTTTTTCCTTTTTTACTCAGCACTTTCCTGTATTTTTGTTTCCAATGGTATTCTAGTCCATTAATAAATGAAAAAAGTATTGAAAAAAGTTAGCATTTTCTACACGGATCTAAGGGGTTCAGGAGGTTCGGTAGAACCCCCTAAATTAGAAAAAAAATGAGACATTATAACACTTGGCCTTAGAATGCCGGAAATCTTATTTCAAAGTACTTCATTTCTGAAAATTTTCTGGGGGAGGATGCCCACGGCCCCCCTACAGGGGATCGCCTTTGATGGTCCCTATCTCGAACCCAGGCATTTTGCTATTTTTCTCCCGCCCTCAGTACTTCCGCCTTCGTGTGGTTACCAAGCTATTGCACCATTCTCAGACACGATAAACAGGTCCACTTCTGGTCTCTCTTACTCACCGAAATGTTATTCGAACTGTAGAAAAATCCAGCTCATACTGAACGTTACAGTTGTTACCACTCAGCCAAACGTCGAAATATGCATAACAGTGATGTACTAGGCGATGAGGGAAGAAAAGCTCTGAACGCTTGTGTGAAGGTGAAGATTTACGGCAAACCAGAAACACGGAGATATGACCGAGAAGCAACGCTGGAACGATTAAGGGGTTGTTATCCCCCTCATATTTTCCATCCATCGTTGTACACGGATTTGTACACGCATCAGCCCACGCTTCAAACCGATTTGGTATATCGGGATTATACGAAGTCGGAGAAGGCAACTTACAACATTGTAGATATTCATGATGCACTTGTCAAATGTGACGAAAAGAGCTATGTTGATAAATACCCTAGAGAAGGACCCGGGTCCGACAAACTGAGTGCCTTGATTGACAAACGAAGAGAGGATATTGAAAGAGAGTACAACAAAGGCAGAAATAACCCAGAGGAACGACTTAAATATCCTTGGATTGTTGCACAGCGCCGAGTGAGGGATTGCTTTGCTGGGAGGTTTCCAGGGGATAACATGCTGATACCTATAGGAGCATATGATGTTCCTTATAACATTAACGACATTCATGATGCTGTTGATAATTTGGATGAACGACTATTTTGTGTAGCGTCCCTAACATTCCAAAGAAGAACCATGGAAGAGACAGGAGAGGGAAAGACATTGAAGACCTGGGAAGACATTAATGAACAAAGAGCTGCTATTGAAAAAGAGTATGAAGAAGCCTTTCACACTGCTGGAATAAATCAGAAATACTCCCAAAGTGAAGCAGAACAGCGTGTAGAGGGCTGTTATCGGGGCTTCTTTCCACCTGGAGTAGTTATTCTTCCTGTCAAAATGGATGAAAGTGGGATACCAAAACCAACTCAGGAATATGACATTTTTGATATTCGCAAAGCACTTCACCATTTTGATGAAAAAAAGGCGCTCGAAAAATATCCAGATGAAGGGCCCGGATCTGCTGAATTAAGGAAACTTATTGATGAATGCAGGGATGACTTGAAAAAGGAGTATGAGATGGCCACTTGTGGTACAGATGGTGAACAAAAGCTGCGTGAATACTCCCTGTGTGAAGCTGAGCGCAGAGTGAGAGATTGTTTTGCAGGTGCTTTCCTGGATGATACAGATATGTTTCCAACAAGGAAAGATCAAAGTAGGGAACAAAAGATTTCTCAAGCGTACGATATTTTTGATATTAAAGAAGCTCTTGATTATTTTGATGCTAAAAAGCTTTGTGAAAAGTATCCTGAAGAAGGACCTGATTATGACAAAATCAAACAGTCAGTTGATGAACAGAGGGATGGTATTCAAAGGGAGTATGAAACAGCCACTACTGATATTGAAATTGAGAATGGCTCTGGATTTATTGTTCAAGAACATTTTATCATCACTAACAGGCATGTGATTGAAACCCATTTGAATGATACTGGGGGGCATGAAATTTGCATTTCAAATG